GACTGTGCATCGGTCGTGCGTAGGCGCGACGCGCGCAAGGCACAGCAGGAGGTTGTTCATTCAAAATTAAACGAAATTGTGATTCTGATTGGCGAGCAATGATGAGAAGGCGTGTTGATGAATTGATACTTATGAGTCGTTTGGCAACACACTTCAAACTCAAACTCTCTGGACTCTGCAGCCTCAGCAGCATTCGGTTCGAAGGTGATTGAGAATGAGAATGCTAATGCTGTATACCTGATTGATCTCGGCACATTCAAGACTTGCTGGCATGGCTTCCAACTGCTACTCGACCGCGCCCAACAAGAACGCGACTCTGACAGCCATGCAGCCAGCCACTCAAACTCTCAAGTGATCTGAACAGCAGCACAGCATAGGAGCTCAAAGGATGGCAGCAATGCGCAAGTCAAGTCATGCGTGCTGGATGCTGGCGAGGCGTCAGCTTCCTACCGGCTCAGGTCACAACAAGTCCTGCGCTGTTCGGACTTTGACTCCTGGCTGCATGGTCTCGCGACTCTTACTGCATGCGCTTTTGCGTCTCGCGACTCGCGACTCTTACTACTGTGCTGCAGGCAGAAGCGCAGCTTGCAGGGCTTGCGCCAATGCATGCAAGGTCAAGCGCCTCCGCGACCCTTCGTGATTCATGCAGCGCGGTCACGATGAGTCAAGTCAGCACTCACGATTGGAGTCACGAGTGCGCTGATGCTGTGTGAATCTGTGAGCGTGAGCTGATGCAGCCCAACTCTGCGGATGAATGCTTGCTGCTTGCTTGGCAGAAATGCACACGAGACTTCGCTCTGGTACCGCGCTGGGACCGCGTGCTGTGGAGCGGGGCTGAAGTCAAGCGCATGCTGGATGCATGCATGGTCGGCCAGGATCCGAAGGCATGCACTAGAACGGTATCCTGCTGGTTTCAGACTCTCGCCGTATCGCATGAATGCACACTCACGACCGTCCATCAGCCCCCCAAGGCCCATCCTTTGGTCTAGCTGCGGCAAAAGAGCAGCCTCGTAACAAGCAAGCAAAGCTGCTGCTGCTGCAGCCTCGCCGTTGACAGCCGCGAATGGCCAGCTTGGCGCATCCCACTCCATTCTCTCCCCAAGCACCAATGAAGCATCTTCATTCTCCTCGTCCATCCACATTCTCGCTCGTCTCCTCAAATACCCAATTGTGTCTGCTCGAAGCTGTACTCTGCCGCCTCATTCTTCCACACATACACTCGCAGCAACTT